TTTTTTTTTTTTTTTTTTTTTTTTTTTTTGAAGATACCTTGTTTGCTTAATAATTACACTGTCAATTATCACGAACGATAACTTGATAATTGACGGAAGAGGTTTCCAGTCGACGAGGCAGCCTCGAGTCAGGACTTTAAACCGACCGCGTCCTGTTACGTGTACTTTCCTTTTTTCCCCCAATGGTAGAAAGTCGTTATAACTACGTAAAGAGCGAACGTACCACGCAGCTTGACGTTGCGGTTCTCTGTGTCTCGTGGAATAACGAGAAGGCCGCGAGGAAGTTTATCCTCCCTTGTAATTTCTCTTTTCGTTAGAAACTTTTCGAGACGTCCCGTTTTATCCTCCGCTTTCTCCGTGTCCCTCCCTATCTGCTCCTCCTTTCGAAAAGATACTAGATTTCCCGCAATATCTCCGTGGAAGATATTCTCCCCCGTCCCCCGATCGATTTAACGCGATTTTAGCTTCTCCCGGATGTAACAAATTGAATCCTTCCTCGGGCAGCTTTATCGATATATTCCCGCGGAATCGAGAAGAAAAATACACGAAAGTTCCAATCGATAATCGATCGGTTATTCCGGTTATTCTTTTATTTTATTTTTTTTTCTTGTTCTTCTCTCTTTTTCTCGAAAACCATTTTTCGAACGTAACGTAACGTCTCATACGGATCGAAAGAATAAAAGATGGCACTGGAAATATTACGAGCGACTTTCCCGGCTGGACTTACCCTCTGATTTATCGTCAGGTTCTCGTCCCTATTTCAACATTATTTACCACCACGCGCGTTTTCTGTTTCACGCCCTCTTTCGTGCGTTTCCCATCGGCTATCCCTCCCCTCTTATTTCACTCCGTTCCGACTTCCATCCCCTATCGCGTTGTACATACTTCTTCCCGGCGATTGTAAAAATATACCATCGATACATTCCTGTAACTTGTATTTTTCAACTTTCCTTTGCCACTTCCCCCTCCCCCCCCATCTCCCCCCTTCCCTCGTTGTCCTCGGTTGTCCCGGTTTTGCATTCGAATTGGCACGGAAAGTATCGCTGCTAAGATAAGAAAATACTGGAATTCTGTCAGACTTTCGCGTAGACGTAAATCTTGGCAGAAGTTCGTTCTAAATGTAAATCAAAGTAATATATTTGCCGAGGGGAGAGGGGCGGAGAAAATACTCACTCCCTCCCCTCCACGTCCCTTGCTCGTCCGTGCCATTTGACGCTCCTTTCTTTTTGTTTTTTTTTTTTTTTTTTTTTTTTTCTTCCTTTTCCCTGTCCACGTTGTAGTAAACGCCTAACACCGTTAGCCTTACGATTAATTCGTTCAGGAATAGTAGCGATAGAACTAGAACTCCAAGCACGAGCCATCTAGTAATCAGAATACCTGAGGTAACGTAGACACTGACACATGT